TATTTTTTTATTATGTAACAATTTAGTGCAATAAAGGTATTTATTGATGCCTTTATTCCCAATTTTAGGCTATTTTAGAAACTCATATTCTTTTTCAATTAGCAACGCTCACCTAAATAGAAAACTGTTCCACATTTTAGTTTTTAACTTTTTACGTACACCAATATCCGGCCTAAATTTTTATTCTTTATATCTAGCAACATGTCATATTAGCAAATATGAGAAACTTAACCGCGCGTTCTTGTCCGTTTAAAAGCAGGGTTAATAATTGTGTTTCAGGTGGAAAAGTCTTGTTTTCGCAAAAATAATTAACTGAGGTTCAGAGAGAAGGAAATGATGAACAAGAAAATCTTTAATTGATTGAGTATGCCAATTAAAAAATAAATTTAAAGATAATTAGTCAATGTTTTAAATAAAAATTAGATGCTCTAAGCCATAGCTTTTCTGATCATTCATAAGAGATATATTATTAGCAATGAGGTAATGAAAAAATTAAATAGTAAACCTAAACTAAATTAGAGGGTAATGATGAAATATCTTATTATTGTTATTTTAATTTTAATGCATGGTGGTTAGGGATCTAGAACTTCAAACCCTTGTAACTTTGACTGTAACGTTTATTCATATGCCCCGATATCGTGAAAAAAAATTAAGTTTTGGTATTTTAGACGACACGATATAAGTGAAAACAGCAACAAGACGAGATTAATAATATGAAATATAAATTATAAATAATAGCTCATTATAAAGAGGGTCAAATGTAGAAAATTTCTCTCGCTTATTGTTTGAAGGTCCGATTTTTAGCTTCTGAGATATCTTAATCCACAAAACCCTTTAATTTGGGTTTGCGGTTCTATTGTATCCCAGTATTTTTCAATTATTTTTATTACATCTATCCAGTTGATATTGGTAAATAAATTTTCTACATCAAAACAGACCTAGCAATATTTAACAATTGTCTATTTTATTAATTCTTTCAAGCAATTGCTTCATCCACAATTATTTGTTTACATCATTGTCACCATCTGATTTTAGATTATTGAGTGTTGAATTTAAAAACTTAGTTAAATTTTTCAATTTCCTCATTGATATTACTGATGGATATACTAAGTGGAGCGCCACTTTTATGTAACTTTACTAATCCATGTATTGTAGGTGTATTGTAGTTAGGGTTAATTACTTTAATAAGAAATTTTTAAAGTTACTAACAAAGTTCTATTGCATAAAATATAGACATCAAAGCAAGATCAATCTAAAAATGACCTTAGTGATTTATAATATTTACTTGTTTAAATTAGTGATATTAACTAATTTATGTTGTATCTAACGACTATAATATTTAAGTGGAAATCTCCACTTGGAAGGATATGTAATTTTATATTTTAATATATTTTCCATTATGCCTAAGAATTTCTGCTATTATTATCATTTATATTATTTCTATTCTTATGTTTTGTATATCGTCAATAATGTTGTCACAATAATGTTTGGAAACTTTTTCCCTCTCCTACTCTCTAATACGGTGTTGGATCAAGATAAAATTTTAAATAATAGCTCATTAGAAAGCAGACAAAATGCTGAACATTTCCCTCTCTTATAGTATACTGGTCCGATTTTTAGTACCTGAACTAGTTTAATCTATATTTTCAAATAACTTCGTTACCATTTGGTTTTCGAAGCTATTTTTCGCTTTAAGCTCCCCTAACAAGGCGTTGCGTTAAGATATAATTTTGAATTATAGCTTATTACAGAGAGGATGAAATGCTGAACAGTTTCCTCGCATACATTATGCAGGCTCGATTTTTAGTTTATGAGATTTTTTAAATCATATGTAGAAACATTTCAATTAGTCGACTATAGCCGATTTTACCCTAACATTAAATTCACTCTCCATAAAAAAAGTGCTAAATGCACCTAAAGAAGTTTTCACTTCAATAATTATTTATTATAAACAAAGAGAAAATTTATTATAATTTGGAAATAAAAAATCATGCAAACGTTTTTAAAGGGGTGTTAAATGAGTTTTGTGAATTTGCTTATAATGACGGATACATATGTATTTATGTTATGCTAACAAATTAAAAAGAAATCGATTATCTCGGTCTAAGTAATATTTTATTAAATAAATACTATATTTGGATTTTAAAATTTTCATGAAATATGAAAACATTTCCTTTCTTTACATAAAAAATGATTGGCAAGTCATTATATGACTTTTTTTTTAACAATTACAGATTAGTCTGGATGAGAAGAAAATATTTTTAAAATATTATTTTATCATTTTTCAATATACAATGCGGATTATTCTCACAACTAGTATTATAAGGCCACAGAAAAAAAATAGATCCCGGAAAAACACTAAACGATATTCTACAAGATAATGAAAGCGAGTCTCTATCGTGTTTAAATTTTTAAAGATTGCAAATGATAATAATAGAATATAAATTATAGAAAACGCCAATGACCCTTAAGGGTAGAGGCGAGAAAAACGAGAGAAAAAAAGGCCAAATAATATTAATTAATTAGACAATATAGAATCTTTGAATTAATTATGCATCGCACTTCTTCTTAATCAAGTTGATTTTCATAAAAGTCTACGGGAGGATTTCATATCAATGGTGAATTGAAGTAGTTTATCCTTCTCATGAAACAGACAAACCTCTGTTAGAAGGATGAGCCTTGGGGAACCCCTGATTAGCGGAGAGTGGGCAGATCTGGACGAGATTACGGCATTGTATTCTCTCTAATTAGCAACGTTTATTCACTCTCGCATTTTTTATTCACGCTGAGGCGGCAATTATCGGAACAAATTTTACACCAACAACAGTTTATTAGGCCAACATTTGTTTTGTCCCTAACTAGCCGCGATGGCTATCTCCTTTCGGCAATACATCTGCCTTATCAAGACGGGAACCATCCCCCCAACCTCAGGCTGTGTTAATGTAATTATTATGCTAATCTTTTCTTCTGCAATGCTGTCCGATTGTTAATCAAGTATCTGCTACCATCGTCTTATTACTGGTGATGAAGGATAATTTTCCAAATCACTATAATAACTATTCCAATATTATATTAGTTAACATCTTAATTATCATGAATTACTTGTAAATTGGTTCCGGATCTTCATGTAAAATAACGAGCTAAATATATACATAGATATGTAATTATATATTTACAAATATGAGAAATACTATTTGGTCCGTGAGATTGTATACTGATTCGCAGTTAATAGAACAAATGACAAAACCATAAGGCAACGTATCACAGATTGCAGGAATCTTACCTTATCCTCGGTAATCGTAATCGACCGATAATAATAACAATTATTTATTACTTACATACACAATAAAAATAAAGTTTGTCTTTATTACTTATCTAAGTAAAATAAAGTTTGTCCACAGCCGCTGCTTTCAAAAATGGCGGCTGATTTAAAGAATATTAGGCCAGAAACTTGAGGATGGAATTGGGAAATTCATAACGAAAAATGTAAGAAAAGTTTTTATTTTTTTTATCTTAAAAAGAATCACTTAAAAATAAAAATGTTAGGACTTAGTGAACGCAAAGTTTGATGCTCTACAACTTTGATTTTATGTTTTTTTTCTCTTAGGGAACTCATTTCCAAACTATAGGAGCATTTATAGTATTTTGTCTCAGTTGCATAAATATAGCAGAAGAAGGGTATATAAAAGAGCTGATTAGATGGGATAAAAGGAAAACTAAATACGCATACCTAAAATATAACTATATAAAAATGTGTTAATTAAATGAAATAAAATAAAAAAAGAACAATAATTAATATGTTCTTAAATTATTCGTTTATTCTTCTCCTTTTTTTATTTAAATCATTTAACACTTTTTTATATTATTATATTTTATATACGCGTAATTTTTTCCCCATTTATTCCTTATAATCAGCTGTTTAATACAATATAACCTTCCTTTGCTGTGTTTACGAAACCTTCCATTTCCTCCAGTATGTATTGCGATATCTTGTTTTTTTTTCTAATGATGCCTGGATTTACGAAACGTTGAAAGGTTGACTGTTCAGCAATATGTTAGTGATTCGTGGCTGTATAGTTTGGATTTTTCTTTATATTACCTAATTACGTTATATATCTTTTTGAGCTATATGTTCATCTTAATAATATTGAAAATAAAAAACCAAATATTGCTTTATTTTAGTTGATCTAATTGTAAACAGAATATTTATATTATAATTTGATATACGAACTCTATGTATCGAGCTAGTGATAATTTTTTTTATTTTTTTTTTTAATTTGTATTCGCCTCTACCCTAGAGGGTCATTGGCGGTTTTTCTTAATTTTTATATTTTACTATAGTGATTTGTTCCCGATAAATATTCAAAGAGAATGACGATATTTGCCTCATTGTCTCCCAAAATATCTTTCAATGTTGTCGAAAGCTTTAGTTTTTGTCTCTCTTTCTAATATAGGGGCACTCTAATAGTAAATTCTTAAATGTTTGAGGTGTATTATCACAGTTTTCGCAGGTTGGCGCTTCGAGACCTCTAAGTAGGTATCCGTGAGTGAAAAGGCAGTGTCAGATTAGCATCCGGCACAATATTATTTCTTCTCTTCTCAACCTTCTGAAGCTTGTGGTCCATGTGTTGCACTCGGTTTTTAATAAAAAGTGATAATTTTAAAGTACGGAGTGAGGAACAATTTGAAATCGTAACGATATACCATTCTTTCCCAATCTTTTTATATCATCTCGTAAATATTCTGAATTTTAGTTAACAATCAGGTTAATTGTTGTTTTTTGGTATTAAAAAAAACTATAACGATTATATTGTTATTTCATATAAATATTGATGTTTTTTTAACATTTTATTTGTCCGACTTTGGTCCCGTTACTTTTCTAACTCAGGCACACAGCTGCTTATAATAAATTATTTTTTTTTTCTATTATTATAATGCTGACATGTGGAAATAATAAATTAAACAATGATGATGTAATGGAGAATTCCTTTTTGTTTGTAATGAATCTCCATATCTCCTTGGACCAGAATGGCGGTGTACTCCACCTCTACCCCTGTACAATAGCCTCAGCCTACGATATCGATGTACGCGGAAGAACAAAAAATATGTTGGCGAAGGATTTATCTCGACGGGTCGCGAGAGGTGCTATATGATCGCGCCATTTTAAAAGGCAAATTCTGACGTAGATCTGTTTGTGAATCTGAGATTGGAATTGGTAAAGGACTGTAAGGCATTATGTTGGATAAGCACTTGGAGCTGTCATGGCCGTCGTATGGTAATTGCACCAGCCCTGCCTTGCTATATTTCAATGAATTGTTGTGGAATTATTGCTCAGTGTCGCATGTAATATTACTTATAAAGACGGGGGAAAACCTCATTGCCACAATGACAGTAACCACGATATTTACTGCCATGACTGCAACTACCAAAGCCTCTTCAACTCTGTAATAAAGTCACAGATTTCGCTTGATCGTGGTTGCTACAGTTATTGTCACAATAACTATTAGATGTAGACTATAAGTCTATTAGTTAAATGTCTATTATCATCTAACTAATAATAGAAATACGACTTGAATTTATTTTAAAAATTCGGAATCGGAATTTTTCATGATATATATTACATATACAGTGTTTCAGTGTTATCTGGCCCAATGACAAAAATGAACTAAGGACCTCAAAACAACAACAAAATTTTCATATCCGCAAATGCTTAGTTTAGGATGTATTCACACCTAAAGATTTTCGTTGTTATGAATTATTTACGTTATATGAAATAAATAAAACCTATTCATTTGTTCTAACTACATTATTAATTAAATGTAAACATTAACATTCATATTAAATGTTGTTCGAAGTAATTTCCTTGAGCATTAAGACAGGCTCGGCATCTTTCTTCAACAGCAGCAGTGACAGAACGGCACTGGACATGTTTTGTTGTTTCACAAGATTCAATTGTCCTTCTTCGTAAGGGATTAAGGTCATTGATCATACTTGCATAGACTTTTTGTTTAAAGTCACCAAATTCAAAAAAATTCAGTCAGGTCTAGAGAGCGTGCAGGCCATGCCACTGGTTCTGCACTTTCAATCCATTGATTGGGATATGGGATATGGGATAGGATTGAGGAAGTCCTTATGAATCTTAATTTCTTACGAAGAAGGATAATGGAATCTTGTGGAACAATAACAGATATCCAGTGCCGTTCTGCCACTGCTGCTGTTGAAGAAAGATGCCGAGCCTGTCATGAGAGCTCAGGGAAATCACTTTGAACAACATTTAATATGAATATTAATGTTTAGATTTAATTAATAATGTAGTTGGAACAAATAAATAGGTTCTATTTATTTCATATATCGTTAATAATTTATAACAACGATAATATTTAGGTGTGAATATCTCCTAAACAAAGCGTTTGCGGACATACCTTCAGAGGACATTTTTTTCTTGTTTTGAGGTCCTTAGTTCATTTTTGCAGTTTGGCCACTTAACTCTGAAACACCCTGCATATAATTATTATTTATTTGTTTCACCTATTAAATACTACTTCTTAATACACAGGGTAATTCAGTCCTAAATGGTCAAACTCTTGTAAGTGATAGACAAAATATCCAACAAAAAAGTTCATTTGACGCATTGGCCGATTTCGGACGAAGTTCAATTTTTTGTTTTCTTAAAGTAGTCACGTTTTCTCTTTTATAGAAAGTAATAACAAAAAAATATTTAAATCAGATAATTAAAAGTTGCTTCATAATAGACTAGAGAAAATTTTCTTCAAATAAACTTAGAGTTTATCTATGTAAAAACCATTTAGCGTTATCTAAGAATAAACCAAGTTTTCCAATTTCGACCGGTCAAGATTAAATTTGGTTTAATCTTATATAAAGCTTAATCTAAGTTTTACTGAGTTGGAGCAACTGGAACTTAATGAGCACCCGAACTACGCTAAGTTCTGTTTTTCATTAAATGATGAATTATTCTCGATGTTTTTTAATATCCTACAACTAGATTTTTTAAACATATTTTTTTTTATAAATAAAAGTTTTATTTTGATAATTAATACACTAAAATAGATGTCAGATCACAAGAAAAAAGTAATTAAAACTTTATAATAATTTCTCGGTTGTTATTTTTCCTACAACTAGACAACAGATTCTCCACTTTTATAAAAACTTCCTTGATTGATAACCTTTAATTGCATATCGATTTAGTTGAGGTTTGCTGCATAACAGAATTGAGATTCACAAAGACTTGTATTAAAAATTATGTTATTTGATAATCTGTCACCCCAGAGTACCAGTATTTTCACAAAAATAACAATCGAGAAATTATTATAAAGTATTAATTACTTTTTTCTTATGGTATGACATCTATTTTAATAAACTAATTATGTAAATACACCTTTTATTTAAAAAAAAATATGTTTGAAAAATTTAGTTGTTTGATAATAAAAAAGCACGATTAATTTGTGATTTAATGAAAACACAATTAAGTGTAATTTAGCCGCTCAAAGGTCTCCTTTAAATAGTTTTGACAATGCTTTACTTATATTTGGAGGAAATTTTGTCTAGTTTACTAAAAAGCAATTTTTAATTATCTGAATTAAATAATTTTAGTGATATTGATTTCTATGAGAGATATAACGTGACAAAATTGGATCTCATTTTCTGTTCGAAATAGGCCCATAGATCAAATTAACTTTTTTGTTAAACATTTTGTTTAGAATCAGCTTAGAGAATTTGGTCATTAAGAACTGAATCGTCCTGTATTGTTGTGGGGGACCGAATTCGATCGACAAGACTTAAGCCAATATATTTTTAATTTTTTTTTTTTTTTGATGGATTACTCTTTAAAGAAAGGAGTTTGTTTAATGCTTTAAAAAAAAATTTTTCTCTTGTGATAAATATTTTATTACTTGTATATTTTGCTTACACGTTCAACGTTTCGGGGTTCTGCTCCATATTCACGAATAAGATGAGAATCATTGTTTTCCAAACCGAACCAAATTTAATTTTTTTTTGTTTTAAAAGCAGCCTTGAAGTTAAATTCGTTCCAAAAGCGAAACTATTCAAGTTATGGTGTTTTTAAAATTAATATTTAAAACACCAATATATGCTACAAATAAAGAATTTCTTCATTTACTAAAAACATCGCTTTTAATATTACAATTGAAATAAAAAATATATTTTTTCGCGGTTCCTGAAAATTTGTATTCCAGAATTTTTGAATAAACGACTCATTCGACCCTTCCAGTTGACAGAATGACAAACTCCAATTTCAACAATTTTTATTATTGACTTTAGTGATATTTCCAGAGGGAAAATGTATATCTTTTTTTATCTCAGTTCTATATTTCAATTCTGTAATCTCTTACTCTGGAATATACTTACTCACTGTCTGTACACATATTATAAATTGTCCAACTAGAAATATCACTAAAATGACTTTACTCAAAAATGTTGAAATTGGAGCTAGTCGTTCTGTCAATTGAAAGGTTTATTCAATAAGCAACAGTTCATTTAATAAGTGCTTGTACTAATCGATTATTGTGTTTGGTCAAGATCGAGTTCATTAATTCAGAAGAAACTTGGTTTAGAGTTCTCTCACTTACTAACAGTATAGATGTTTATTACTGAGGGTATTGGAGCAATATCCTGATATATTTTTATTTATTAAAAATATAAAAAAGTTTCTTTTTATATTATCCGAAGTGACCATAGAACTATTCTCCTCCATTTGCATTTTCAATAGATTTTTTGTTAGTCCAAGTCCATCATCAATAGTAATATTTCAATTTTTAATCTAAAATCTCGAGATGTGATAAATATCCCGTCTCAACCAAACTACTTAAGAGGCTTCCGGACAGAATTATTATTTATCTTGGGACTTTAAAACGCAGGTTCCGATATAGTCCCTTTATTTTCGTTGAAATAAAAAGACAACATTTAGAAGCTTTTAGAAAGATGTTCGCTGAAAAAAACAGTTTTTTCGTTTCATCTAAGTCTGAAAGGCTTAGAAAAAAAAATGTCAATACATATAACTGTGGACCCTAGTCGTCATATTCCTTATTTGGTCCTTCTTGTCCTGGAGCAGGAGCAGGATATTGGATGGAAGGATAGAACAGGAGAAGACGGGAGGGAAGAGGAGCCATCTTTAGACAGGCGCAGAAGCCCTACTCAATATAACACTAATAGCACCCCATTTAGGCTAACTGCCCGGTCGATACCCGTCTTCGGGCCCCTCCAGGATCTACTGGGCAGCCTTCTTGATGTAGCCATTGTGGAAGAGGCATCAAACTACAGAACATAGCGGTCTTAAATAATCAATTTGGAAAAAAAAAATTAAAATATAATAAAGAAAGTTCTTTTTGTGCCTTTAATAGAATTTTTGTTTCGTACATGTCGTTTTTCATTTTATAATAAAAAAAAAAAAATAAAAAAAAAAGAACGCTGAAAATTATTACACAATGCGTTATCATTTCCAAACAATTATATATCAAAAGTAGCATTAATTTACTTTTAACACAAAGGACAATAAATATAATAAAGGCGATTAATAATATTGTCCCTAAATAATTTTTTATTTCATCCACAATAATTTTTTAATAAAAATAAAAAAACATTATTTCAGTATATGTAACACTTTTAAGTTATTAAAACCAAAACGAAGGAAATAAGCTATGTAGTGAAACGTATGAAAAATATTTAAAAACCATATCTTAGCACCAAATTGTCCGATTTCAACAATTTTATTTTTTAAATTTTAGGAAATTTTGTAAACTTTTAAATAACCAAATAAAACGTCATCATTTTCTGGACGATTACAATGGTTCATTATTGAAAATAATAAAACTAAGTTATTTAAAAAACGCGATATCTTTACTAATAGTGCTCTGGTTTTTTTAGGAATTTTAAATATCTTTAAATCTCATTATAAAAATCAAAAAAAGTATATACTTTTAGAGTTATTCGAAAACGTTATTTTACCACCAATATAATTTTACCGTAACTTAACCGTGCTACTTTTTTTCGTTGAAGTATGTTATGTAGATAAATTTCAGGAGTTTCGAAAGAGAAAATTTTAGCCATGTTTCATTAAAATCTGTTCTGGAGCTACAGTCTATACAACACAGATCTTTCGGCCGCCTTCTTGAAAACAAAGTACTTTTCGGTAAAGTATGTTCTATACCCATATTTAAAGGGCATCGAGGAGAATACTAGGTTTTATTAAAATCAGTACATTCTAGTGTTGCCCAAAATAGGTGTTGGTCTTGCAAAGTGCCGAGGCCAAGACCGCCTAACTATTGCAAGACCAAGACTAAGGCTGGGTAAAAAAATCGATTTTTTAATAAAAATTAAGGTTAGATTGTTACTAATAATTGACAATTTTAGTTAATATATATAAGAATTGATAGAACCAATATACTTGCATATCAATACTTGCATACCAATATTTTGCATTTAACTCTTCTAATTTTTCATTCATGCTTAGTTAGGTTTCTTCTATCAAAGAAATTGCAGTAATATCTCTATAGTAATAAGCTAATAAGTAACTGCAAGACTGTAGCGAGACTCTTGCGCAAGACCAAGACCATGCCCAAGACTGGATGCGCAAGACCAGACTCCTCTTGGTCACGCATTTGGGCAACACTAGTACTTTCATTCAGGTCTGTACCAGTCTATACCATCACAGGTTTTTCAGCCACCATCATGAAAGGAAAGGACAGATAGTAATGTCGAGGTAGGAGGATTATCCTCTGGTGACCTCTGACTTTGATTACAAATTTGAAAAAAAACATCAGACCAGTAGTCTCGGAGAAAATGCGCTGACGGCGGACGGACAAAAATTGTTTTATTTTCTAAATTTAAGTTCTACGAGTCCTGTAGGGCAAAACCTCAGATTTGATGTTTTTTTCCTAACAAAGTATTGCCTTCCAAAATGAAGAAGCTTAAGTGATGTAAATGAAAAAGATTAAATACAAACGAATGTAATGAGCCCACTTATTTGGCAAAAAAATATAAAAATATAATAAACTTACTAGAATAATATTTTAAATAGTGTAATTTAAATTTATATTACGTATCTATTTATTTAGCTTATAAGTATGTGAACACTTCTCTTGTTAAATAAAGACAATAAAAAATTAAAGCTACGAATCTGTAGATAATATTTCAATAGATAAAATGATTTTTAAAAAACGATTTTTTTTAGAGAAAAGGAATTTCATTGCTGAATTTTGTGGGGGAATCCCTGTTATTTTAATTTTTTTTAAAAATGCAAATGTTTAAGATTTTAATATATCTTTTTTTTTTTTGGATTGCATTACTTGTTTATTGATAAATATTACAATATGTCCCAATAAAGGACATTTTTAACAGAATTCAGAGAGCACGTTCACACTATATTTACAAAATCAAAAAATAAATAAGCTAATTTCAAAATAATATAGAGCGAAATAAGAACTAAATAAAATATCACAATGAAGGAAGAAAATATAAATAATAGTAATAATAAAACAAAAATAAATAAATAAAATAGAATTGAAATGTTAATATATCTATGACTATAATAAGGCCAATTTGGACTTACGGAGTTGAGTTATGGGGCTTCACCAAACCTTGAAATTCCTCTCGTATCCAATCCTTACAATCCAAAATCCTTCGTAAAATACTAAATTCTCCTTACTTTGTTATAAATAAAATCATCCACAATGACCTTAATGTTCCTTATGTTTCAGATTTGGCCCAATCCAGGTATCTATCCTTCCATAATAAACTTCATAACCATCCCAACCCTCTTGTTTCTAACCTTTTTTCCTATTCAATTCCTGATAAAGCTCCAAGGCGTCTGAAAAGAAGAAGGCCCCGTGATCTCCTAATATAGACATATTATTAGAGTGCTACCAGTGGTTAGTTTCTCAACATGTGTTTCATGTCATTATATCCACGTACGAATTTACTAGATGTATTTTGGTTTGTTATTTTCAATTATCAACCATTGTGATCGACCAAAAATTCAAAAACTCAATCCCCTCTCAAAATTTGAGGTTTCACGTTTCAGGATGAGTAAAATTCGAAAAACGAATACAATTTTTTGTCCGTCTGCCATACGCGCATTTTCTCTACGCTACTGGACTAATGGACCAATTTTTTTCAAATTTGGATATAAAATCAGAGGTCAGCCGAGGATGATCCTCCTTCATCGACATTACTATCCACCTTTTACTTTAAAAATGGCAGCCGAAAAACCTTGCTGTAGACTGTAGCTCCTAAACGAATGTACCGATTTCAATGAAACTTCGCTAATGTCTTTTTCTTGACGCCCTTTAAATCTATCTATATAACATACTTCAACGAAAAGAAGCTGGAAAAAAAAAGTTACGAGGGATGGTAAAATTTAATAACTCAAAAAGTATACACTTTTTGTCGATATTGTGATAAGATGTTTCAAAGGTATTTAAATTTCCTACAAAATAAGGAATTTCATCGAAATCAAAGCACTATTAGTAGAGATATCGCGATCTTTAAATATGTTTGGTTTATTATTTTCAATAATCAACCATTGTGATCGATCAAAAATTCAAAAACTTAACCCTCACTCAAAATTTGAAGTTTCACGTTTCAGCATGCGTAGAATTCGAAAAACGAATAAAAAATTTTTTGTCCGCCCACCGTCCGCGCATTTTTTTTTTTTTTATGCAGTTGTAAATAAAGATTAATAAATAGCTGCGTAAGATTTGTTATTGGTGCCCCGAGGTACTCCCATATCTCTCACCACTACACTGAGTTAAGGTGTCCCCTCCTTTCGAAGACAATACTTTCTAGGTACGTTCCTCTACCAAATCATCAACAACCATCGTCCTTCTTACGCCTACAACCTTCTCCAGTTCAAATCCTCAGTCCATTCCCTGTCCACAAGATCTCGACCTTCTGACCTTTACATGCCTTCTCACAGATCTGCCTCATTCCAAAATTCCTTTATTGTTCGCTCTGTCAATTTCTGGAATTCCCTCCCTATCAAAATTCGACATTCCCCCTCCATATCCACATTCAAATCCCTCCTATTCCAATTCCTATCACAAAAACAGTCAGATACTTGCTAACCATTCGAGGGGATTTTAATAGAGAATTTGATATATTTTTATTTTTTAATTCTTTATTTTTTTCGGAAAAGTGTATACTGGTCTAAATAGCTTTAAGTTTCTTGTCATAGTATTAATGGTTTTGTATATAGTTTAGTTTGTTTTGTATATAGAGTTTTTACCTTATATTTTTTTTACATTATTTCTTTTTTTCGATTTATTTTGTTTTGGCCAGATGTAATATTTTAAATTTGTTCTAATTTGTTATTCTCAAGGGACTGTGTCCCAGAATAAAGTTATTTTTCTATTTCTATTTCTATTTCTAAATATCATAATAAATAATAATAATTAAAAAATATATCTATGTCTACTTTTGAGCTATTGTTTACTTATAGTTTCTGTAAATTTATTTTATTCATTTTCGTTTGGTAAGTGGTTGAAAAATTAAGGACAACTGTTTTTATGCTATCCTGAAAATTTGAATTTGGCTGTTTTTCTCGTGACCTCTTCATATATTATGAGTTTGTCCAATTAAATTTTCTGGAACAGATACGGTACCATTCAGATCAAAGTCCGTTTACTGAATCATATATGTTATATGCATTAGGGTCAAGATGGAGGAATGAAGGAGAACAAGAAAAAAGAAAAAGAAAAGATGGTTGCTACCGGATCGATAATGACAAACATATAAGCTTACACCGCTCCAGGTTGTGTAGGCATATACAAAATGGAACGAATTTGTCAGAGAGGGTTGGTGAAATATGGAAGCGATATTTCGGCAGAGGGGGGGGGAGGGTTGGTAGGAGTGTGCCCCCTGAATAAACAGGGTTATAAATCTGTTGGGATCAGGGGGCCACCAGCCTGGTAATAAGAGTTGCCAACCCATCCACAACTTTATATCCAGATCAATCATATCCTCCCCGGCTCCCCCGGAAAAACGACTCCCCCCCCCTCGCTAGCAATTTTCTTACCCGGGGCATTACATTATTGCGACCCTCTTACCAGAGCGAGGGCGTATTACAGGGTAATTTATTGTCGCTATTATATACTCCATCGTCGCCTTATATTTTAGAGAGGGGTGAGAGTGCTACAGCATATGGCTTATATAGCAGAGCTTGTAAAGGGAATATCATACTGATTTTTTCCCTCTTTATCTCGACTCTTTTTTAACTCTTTGGATCATTTTTATCCGACTACGCCGAAGCCATACAGGCTTATGTGTTACAAC